GAATGCCTCTCTCAGTGCCTCACCGTGGTTGTCTGTGGGATGCCCCATTCACTCTGCTGCATGGGATTCCATTCTTGGTGCTTTCTTCTGAAATAAGAAGGCTGGAATTTGGGGGTACTCATACCTAATCTGTAAGCTACTAAGTGTTTCAAGATGGTATTTGCTCAGTTCATGTTCAATGAACGTTACAGTGGGTTTAAATGTGGTATCAGAACTTGCCAAATGGTGCTTATAGAAGGACACAAGGCTCAGAAGGATTAAGTGACTTCTCCAGTTTCACGTGAAGTTGTGTGTTTCTGAGCGCAAGGGCTATCTTACTTGAGCCAGGACTCAACTGAGATAAACCAATGGCCTGTTTCCATTCTTGTCCTTGGAGCTTGGCAGGGACTGGAGGTGGGGAGTGGTCAGATGCCCTGGAACTACTCAGAACACAAACTGGAAAGAGAAACTGAGATGCTGATGCTGGCAGAGGAGAGGGCAGAAATGCTGGGCAGGCAGGGACGGCAGCGTCCATTCCTCTTAGCCCCCTTTGCGCTCTACTAGGCGTTCAGTAGTATGTGAATGTGAATGAATGGATCGCTACTGTTTTTTGAGCCGTGCTCCACATTCAGAGCATGGAGATCACAGGGGCTGGTGAAGATGGAGGAGACCTCAGGGGCGAGGTTGGACTCTAGTTGGCTTGAGGTAGAGAGCAGGTGTGGGAAGGAGGGCACGTGTGCAGAGGCATCTATGGGCAAAGGCTGATGCACCTGGAATACTTAACCTGGCCCACAGGTACAATGTCCTTGACCTCTGTAATACCTTGTCTGCTCTCCAAACTCCCAAACGGGGGCAGGGTTTTCCTGACTAAGCCCGTGTCAGGAAAATTGTGGCATGAGTCTTGTTAGCTACTCTTTTGCACACCTCTGCCATCGCTTACGGGCCTCGAGTCTAACTTGTTAACCGCTTGGATTTGCCCACGTTATTCCCGAATGTGAGTCATTTGTTGTCTGGGCTCACCCAGCTGGGCTTTCCTTTCCAGGTTAACATGTTTGTTGAAGGATTCCACGATGCCATCCTCCTCTACGTCCTGGCTTTACATGAAGTACTCAGAGCTGGTTACAGTAAGAAGGATGGAGGGAAAATTATCCAGCAGACTTGGAACAGAACATTTGAAGGTGAGGTTTCGGTCTACAAGGCAACAACACTCTGCAGCTGATCAAGCTGCTTCTTTCCTGGTTCTGTTTTTCTCTCTTACAACCTTGGGACCTTGCCAGTGTCTTACTTTTCTCAGCTGTTAGAAGAAGGATAATAAGTCAAGATCAACCCACTTCACAGGCTTGTTGTGAAAATTAAAAGAGATAAAGCTCGTGAAAGTGCTTTGAAAGAGTCCCACTGAAATAGGAAGTGCCTTGTCTCCTGATTACTAGATGACAACTCTAGGCTTCTTAAAATTAATCACCAGCCTCATTCACAACAAATAATCAGTCTGTGAAGAGTTCTGTGATCAGTTTTAAAAGGAATAATCCCAGATATACATTCCTCTGTTCAAAACTGGGAGGTTTGAGATGATAAGCAGGTCCATTTGAGCTCTCTGCTTATATTTTATTTTATTTTTATTTATTTATTTATTTATTTTTTTGCGCTATGCTGGCCTCTCACTGTTGTGGCCTCTCCCGTTGCGGAGCACAGGCTCCGGACGCGCAGGCCCAGCGGCCGTGGCTCACGGGCCCAGCCGCTCCGCGGCATGTGGGATCTTCCCGGACCGGGGCACGAACCCGCGTCCCCTGCATCGGCAGGCGGACTCTCAACCACTGCGCCACCAGGGAAGCCCTATTTTATTTTTTAAAATGGTGAATACTAGCTGTTGCTTAAGAACAGAGAAGCATAAGAACAACAACAACAACAACAAAAATGGCTCGTCATCTCATCACTCAAGCAATCTCTGTTGACATTTAAACATTGTATAAGAATGAGATCATTCTTGGCTGGAAAATTTGAATGCTACAAAAATGTACAAAATGAAAAGTGAAAGTTTTCCTTTCACACCCTAGTCCCCTGTCCCCAGTGTAATCACTATTAACAATTTCCTATGATTCAGCCTAAAAATATTTTATGCCTTCTGCCAGCACATATGCATTTGTATATCTTATCTAAAAAATTTACACAAAAGGGTCATGCTATGAATGCCATTCTTCATCTTAGCCTTTTCACTTATATGTCAAGTAGAAGAATTTTCCATATGAACGCTCACAGATTCAGCACATTTTTAAGTGACGGTTCCATATTTTTCCACTGTTTGGCTGTACAAGTATTTCTTTAACCAGTCTCCTACTGATGGGCACTTCAGTTGTTTGCAGCATTTGCTATTATGCAAAATGCTATTATGATCTTACACATCTTGATGAATTTTTGTGAGTACATCCAATAGGGAACATTCTTAGTCGTGGCCTATCTGGGTCCAAAAGTATGTTGGTACCTTTTAAATTGCCAAATACCTTCCAGAAAGGTCTACCAGTCCATATTCTTGCTAACAGCATGTGGAGTGCTAGTTTCCTCTCACCTCCCCATCAGTCAAAAAAAAAAAAAAATGAACATGAGACTCAATACGAGAATGATCCAGCTGCTGGAGCCCTGCGGATATCAACTTCATATTCACTCATTCATTCATTCATCAGATTTTCTTGAGCACTTACTATGTGCCAGGCACCGGTCAAGGTGCTGAGGATTCAGCAGTGAACTAAAGAAATTCCCTGCAATCAACTGAGCTTCCATGGTAGTAGGGGAAACTGGCGATAAACGAATAAATACACCACTTCAGGGGCTATAAAGTAAAGCAGGTTAGGGAGCTGGAAAGTGATGGGAAGGGTGTGGTAGGACTGCTAATTTAAATAGAGTTGTCCGGGAAGGTCTTTCTGATAAGCGGTGGTTGAGTAGAGACCTCAGAGTAGTGAAAGAAATTATGTAGATGTTTAGGAGAGAATATTCCAGAGGCAGCAGCAAACGCAGAGACCCTGAGTGTATCTGGCAGGAGAGTGCTGAGGGCCCCCGTAAGAGCAAGGAGGCCGGTGTGGCTGCAGCAGTATGTGAGCCGCAGTGTGATGGTAGCCAGAGTCAGAGGTAGTGGGGCCAGATCCTGTGGGCCTGGAAGCTGCACTGAGGACCTTGGGTTTCCACCTGAGTGAGATGGAAAGCCACCAGAGGGTGTCGAGGGTCAGGATCTGTCTTGAGTCTTTTTTAGATGGGGGCTTTCTGGGGGCTGAGGAAAATAAACTGTAGTATGCTGGTGGGTATCATCTGAGGACCACTGCCGTACAGGTCACTGACCAGAGGTCAGGAAATCCACAACCTAGCCACTGGCTGTGACCTCAGTCCTTTGGGCTTCTTCTTTGTCACCAGTACTAAGGGGGTTGGACTAGCTGATGACTGACAAAGACCCTTTCAGTTCTGCATCATGCCAACTCGTCCTTTGAGCCCTTTAATGCACTGGGGCTATGCCTATATGTATTTATCAAGGCTAGATTTGGGGCACATATTTTTTTTTCCCTTGGGACTCCCATCCACTCCACTGCCTCGTCTTGCCCTTGGTTATTAGAAAGGGTAGGACGGTACAGAGAGGTCAATTTCCAGCGAGAGTTGTCTGGGCAGCAGCTATGGTGACATTGGGTGGATTTCATTTCTCCTTGGTGGTGTCAGTGGATGCCACATCTTACTCAAAACTAGAGTGACATCTGCTTTAACTTTGGACAGATTGTAGGCCATGAACGAATAAAATAAGCCTCCAGGATTATCTTGCTCGACCTCTGACTGCTTCAGCTGAGGAGTTGGAATCAAATAGGATAAGTCAGGGGGCATATTAGGACTGAGTCAAATTTCCCAGAAGTTGTGTCCTGTGCACTGAGAAACCGGCATGCGTGGACGTGACCTTGGTAGGCCACATCCTGTTCCTAGTTACTCCTCACTACACGATGTGGTTATTTGCTCTTGGTCATCTGAGGGAGGTTGTTAAGGGAAGGGCAGGTGCCCACAATGGCTGGAACTCAGTTTTGTTTAGAGGGCATGCACTAAATTTTCCCATAGGCCAACCTGATGCTTCCATTCTAGGGCTGGGTCTACACAGGCAATACGAAATGAGTCCCCAAACAATCAACTGTATAATTCAGTCTAAACTTAGAATCTCATTTGTCCAAATGTAAAGATAATTGAAGCCAAGGTAAGTTTTGACCTTGAATTGTTTGAAGAGTCCATTTTATTTGCTAAACAATGATCAGTCTGAGGGTAGCCCCCAAAAGAACTATAAAAAAATCCGCAACTGTTCTAAAATTAAAAACAATTAAAATTTTAATGGTCACTGTAAGTGACCATAAAGTTGTCAAGGGAAAAATACTCTGGATGTTATTTGACAGATTTGGATTTCATTACCGTGAAACCTATGACCAAATCTCAAGGCTTTCAATAAATGGCCTGGGAGGAAGCTGAATTTCCTCTCTGTGTGAGAGGTCAGAGTGACAAGGTAAATAGGACTGTGGCTCAAACCTTGAGCTCCGCTACAGGCCAATAGAAATGAGGGTGGAAAGTCTCATTACTTATGTACAGGAAAATTCTGCTGTCAGCCTGACGATCTCAACTTATGTACAATACTCTCAGGTGAAGTCTCACTTGCTAATTGGCCACCCTGAGTGTTCACACCCCATTTCTTGGCAGAATTGTAATAGCTTAAAGTGTAGTGAGGTCTTGGATTACTAGGGCCACCTTGCCTTATAAAATACTCTGCAGAACACACCATCATAAACACCTCTGAACAGAACGGCATATGGTTTTGGACAGCCAATATGTTTGGAGATAAATGTATATATATATATATATATATATATATTTAAATGACATTAATTACTTAAAAGTTGTATAGACTGTCAAGGATAAGCTAGCTTGACATAGGTGTATCCTTTGTAATCAGTCTATGTTAAGAAGACAAAGAAATCAAGATGAATAGTAGCTCCATTCTGTTTCCGGCAAAGTAGACCAAAGTCTGGAAAAATCAGTGGGCCTTCAAACAGCAACCCAGAAGACCGTAAACCCAAATACTTGCCCTCTCCAAACCACACTAGAGGATGGAGCTTTCCCTTGGGATCCCTTTTCCCAGACATTCATTTTACTTCCGGAGAGAACCACATCAGTAGAGGTGCCAGTTAAGAATTACACTGAACTTTGCCACAGTTTAAATTGAAAGAAAACAAATACTTAGAATGTGGCTGACATATAAATTCTCTTAGTTAATGAAAATTGCAATAGAGACATATTTAATATCAACTAATAGTATATATGTATTTGCTTTTATTGATTAGCTGCTGTAAGCCACCATTGCTAACCAAAGTAAATCCAAATCCTTTGTATGGCACTCAAGGCCCTCCATGCTCTGGCCACCCTGTTCCAGCTGTTCCAGCTTTACATCTCACTGTTCCCTTCCGTACACATGGGCCACCTCCCCCAAAGCCTCACCATCCCTTGGGTTCCTTTCAGCTTTTGTGGCTTTGTAAATACTAACAGGGCTGCCTTTCTGCCTAAAACACTCCCACACTCTGCTGGCTGCTTGTCTGAATCAGAGGCTTCACCAACATTCCTATAAAAGACCTGCTCTCTTTTACTGAGTCCCCCAGGAGTCTCCAACTAGATGTGCCAGCTCCTCTTCTGAGTGGTATGGGCACAGTCAGAATGTCCTCTCCCAGATTCCAGGCATAGCGATAGAAGTAATAACAAAAGAAGGAAACGACCGACTTCTCTTAAACCCATGTTGAAAGTACTTTACCTATTTTAGCTCACTTAAATCTTTTCAGCAGCCTCTTGGCAGGGAGCTACTATTATGCCTCTTTTACAGTCCTGGAGACTGAGGCTCAGTGGGCTAAATCCTTGCCCAAGGTCATTGGCTAGGAAATGTGAAAGCTGGGATTCAGATGCAGGCAGTTGGATTCCAGTGCCACCAAAATAAACCCCTTGTCCAGGCTGCCTCTCTCTTGAGCAGACACTGTCTCCAGATCATCTTTGCCTCAGCATTAAATTCAGCCCCTAGTTATCACTGGATAAACAATGAATGCTTTATTGTATCTATATGAGATGATGAATGTTAAACTCATTTCACAGTATCTGTAAGTCAAACCTTTATGCCGTACACTTGAAACTCACACAGTGAGATATGTCAGTTACATCTCCATTAAACTGGAAGACAAAAACAAAACCCCCAAAACAATGAATGAATGAACACAAGTGCAATAAAACTAGCTCATCTTTGCTCTTGGCTCCCATGACCTGCGAAGCAGGCCCTTTGCTCTCCTGGGCATCCAAGGAGCCCATAGGCAAGCACATTCACTGAGTCCCGGGCCTGGAATGGGTTTTCTTTTATAATGTTTGCCCAGTGATAACGTGAACCCATGACAAATCTAGGAGCTGTACTACAACTCCACTTCTCGCTCTGCATTTTTAAAAAAAATTAATACAAAACTCTGGGATAAGCATACTGCTTTCAGGATTAGCCTTAATCTTTTTTTTTTTTTCTTTAACATATTCCCCAAAGAAGGTCATTTGTTTCTTTTTCTTTTCATTTTTAAATGGAGAAATGTTAAGAATTTAGGAATGCAGACACAGATGAAATTACAATGTCTTTTCAAATGCCAACAAAAATGCTCGGAGTTTGATGAGATTCCCTCTGGCATGAGTTTGTTTAAAAAAGTCCTGTCAATTCATTTTCTTGTTTTTGTTGGCGGACAGAGGCATTTTAAGTAACCAATTGGAGTCCTTTACATCTCATCCTCCAGGTATTGCCGGGCAGGTGTCCATAGATGCCAACGGAGACCGGTACGGGGATTTCTCCGTGATTGCCATGACCGACACGGAAGCAGGCACCCAGGAGGTAAGCAAACAGGACTTCTGCCCCAGCCGTTCCTCTGCTTGTTGAGATTCCAAGGAATGTATTTGTCCTGGTGTCCAAATAGCTGCCCCCAAAGCAGCCTCCAAATAAAAATGAGCTGCACACAGGGAGTTTCCAAGAGAGGGCTTCCTTCTGGTTGAGGATATCAGGGAAGACTTCAGGAAATGGTTCCACGTTTATCCTAAGTGGGGAAATCCTAGCTTTCAAGTGGCCAAGAATCACACCTCAGTCCTAAGATGCAGGACAGCATCATCAGCTGAGAGACGTAAAGTGAAATTGTGTATTTACTTCCTTCCTAAAAATTTGAAAAAAAAATTGGTTTTGGCGGAGGTGGGTACAAACTGGACATGCATGAGTATTTCAAAAGATGATGGAGTTTCAGGATAGCATCACGAAGAGAAAAGGGTGCCCTGGACTCAAAGAGGAGTTTCTGACACTTCCTGGGGTGCAAGGTCTTGACCTCAGCTTCCTCGGCTGTAATGAGGAAATCATAATCTCTCCCTTGCTGATCTCACGTGATGATCACGAACACCAGATAAAATGGAACCTAGAAAAGGACTGTATAAACTTTACATGATAAATATATGAATAAAGATTATAGGAATATGCAGTGTTTCAGGTCACTGCATAATGCAGCTCCCTCTCTGCTTCTCTGAAGGCTTCACCCAGAGTTGATGCTCCTGTCACACTTCCTGCGACCCTGCATAAAGGACTGTCTTCTCTCAGTCCACACATACTTGGCCTTTGTGGGAGAGGCTGAGCCGGCAGGACCAGCACTTGCTGCATTTACTGCACGGTTTTTTACTCTTCGATGGTCTGGGTCTCGTGTATATTCGAGTCTCCCCCTCTATAAAAGGTGGATAGTAACCGTCTATGATAGGGTTGTGGTGAGGATTCAGGAGTGCATGTGTGTAAAGTACTTGGTATGTGCTCAGTACATGCCAGTGATTGTTAGTTTGGTGATTATCTAGAATTCTTTTCATTCTGACATGAAATAGCCTATGAGAGCTTGCTGGGCCTCCTTCAGGAGAGGGAGTGGGAGGGAGTGTCACAGGCCGCTCAGGAGCAGGGTGCCGGTGCCCAGACAAAAGGGAAATGGATCCCGAGAACCTGGGTGCGAAGGTACTTCTAGGTCAGGGCTCAGGGAGCTGATGAAATGGCTGTTGAACCAGAAACTGAGAGTGAACCTTGAACTGACCCATAAAAGAATACTGATTTTTTTCACGGGCCACAGGAACTCATTGAAAAGGAGTTCAGCTTGGAAGTGGGGTGTAAATAGGGTAAATTCATCAGAGAGGAGAATGTAACCCCCGAAGTCAGGATGGGGAATAGTTTTGCAACCAGAGGAGGGTGAATTGGGAAGTTGCTGAAGACGCTCTTTAATGCTTGAATTATATGCCAAGCTAATTGAGTGGTGTGAGGCCCACTTAGCCTGGGACCCTTAAGATGGGTCCTGACCTCACTCATCCCTGAAAGGAACTTGGGCCTGACAGATGGCTGACCACGTGGGCTGCTCTGTGGCAGGTGGCAGAAGCAGCACCCTCTCCCATGAGCAAGGGAAAAGCCATGCCTTCCCAGCTTATTGCTTTCTGTATAACCACCTTCCCTGCCATGGGCAGCCCGCTCTCCATAAATTATGCTCACCTTAAGAGCACTGTTGGTGCCTGAAAATCTTGACCTACAAAGTCCTCAGAAACACACCATTGTAGTCAGTGTGAACGACAGGGGAGCCCACCCTGTGCCTCCTTTGGAACCAGATAACTTTGACCTTTCAGTGTGTATATGTATATATTTTTTGCCTTTATATAGGTTATTGGTGATTACTTTGGAAAAGAAGGTCGTTTTGAAATGCGGCCGAACGTCAAATATCCTTGGGGACCTTTAAAGCTGAGAATAGATGAAACCAGAATGGTGGAGCACACAAACAGCTCTCCTTGCAAAGCATGTAAGTTTAGAGACTTAATTCGCTCTGTGTTTCATCATCTATGGTATCAGTATAATGCAGTGGTCATGCCCTGAAAGTGCAGATTCCCGTTTCTGATGTGGTAAAACCCACAGGAACAATTCACAAACTGGCATATCCACCTTCAGAAGAGGCTTCTAGGCCCTTCTTCCCTTCCATCCTTTTCCAAAATGGTAGAAGGCATCTCCCTAGTTTTACATCTCTTACTATAATTTCTTAGTATTTGAGGTTTACACTTTTAGGGAAGATTAAAATATCAAATGCTAAATGTCACTCACTTATTCATCTTTGTTTGTATTTATCCTCTTATCCCTCAGAACCAGTGTCCCTTGGGCACCTGAAAATTTACAAATTGGCAAATAAGTGTGAAATCTGTTACTTATGAGCAGCCTTGTCATAAATATAGAAGCAAGTGGAGGGTCTCATTAGGAGCTTAAAAGTAGGAAAATGGTTGGAAATCATTGCTTTAGCGAGACCCTTTGATAAGCTATTGAGGGAGGGCAAAGTGAGTATCGACCTTTCAGGGAACTTGGTCACTTTAGGCTAATGTATGTGTGCTCCTTATGTTTTGGGAACAGTCTTTAACCTGTGAGGTATTTGCGTATATGCAATAATTACGGGAAGGCATAAGGCAGAAATATGTTAAGAACACAGTCTCTGGAGTTATTGGGCCTGCATTTGGAATCCCACCGTTGTCACTTACTGGTTTTGTGAACCCAGGAGCGTTCCTTCCATTTCTTTAAGCCTCAGTTTTCTCATATGTAAAATGAAAGAAATGTATCCCACTCTTAGGACTGCTTTGAGGATTAAATACGAATGCATATAAGACTGTGTCCTAAACTCTTTGTACACAAGCTAGCTATTTATCATTTTTATATAATAACTGGGACACTACTGAACTTGATTGTTTCAAACTGTTACATTTTCACAAAGCTGTATAAGACATTTTGACATGAGACTCTGGCTTTGGTGAGAGGACATCTAAAAACAGAACATTAACCCAATGAATTTTCTCAGCAAATCTTCCAGCACTTGGAAGTGTCACCATCCAAGTGACACTGAAAATGAGAAGAGCCGGCTCCGTCCCATGGTCTCCATGCCTGTAAACTCAAAAGAGTGTGGCTAGATCTGAAAACTTCAGTTTCCAGTTTTCTTCAAATCCTCCTTGAACCTGCTTTATTCCCACTGTGCTCACTTTTGTGTGTGTGTGTAGCAGTCATTCATCTAGTATTTTCTTAAGTGTTTTTTTTTTTGCGGTACGCGGGCCTCTCACTGTTGCGGTCTCTCCCGTTGCGGCGCACAGGCTCCGGATGCACAGGCTCAGCGGCCATGGCTCACGGGCCCAGCCGCTCCGCGGCACGCGGGATCTTCCCGGACCGGGGCACGAACCCGTGTCCCCTGCATCGGCAGGCGGACTCTCAACCACTGCGCCACCAGGGAAGCCCTTAAGTGCTTTTTAAGCTTTGCACTTGGTAAAAAACCCCCAAACCCCAAACCAAACCACAACCACCACTGCCACAACAACGAACAGGATCCCCTAGAAAATAGTTCTCAAAAAGAAAGGAAAATTGGAAAATTTGCCCCAAGTGGGAAATTGAGAAACACGTTCCAATGAATGAAAGTTTTCAATGACTGAAACGTCAGAATGAGGGATTTCTAGCTATTTCTCAACATGAACTCAGATTATCTCTGTTTCTTTTTCAAGCAGGTGGCCTAGAAGAGTCAGCGGTGACAGGAATTGTTGTGGGAGCCTTACTAGGAGCTGGTTTGCTAATGGCCTTCTACTTTTTCAGGTTAGGACCACTTTATAAGGTTTTAAAATTCACTCCCCTTAATTGCCTTTGCCATTTGCCTTTGAATGAACCTCCTTGTGACCTGTGCCTATCTTGCTCTTAAACAAAAAGCATGTGGTGAGAAGAACTGAGCCATTCCTTTGGTGTGACACTGGTTTGGTGGTCAGTGGGTTAGCATACCAGGCAGTGGGTCAGGGTTTCTATTGCCTCCCGCTATGGGCCACAGAGCCACTGCTGTCTTTGGCTTACAAATATTCTGACCCCATTCCTACCGCCCACCACATGCGAAAGTGAAGAGGAAATCTGGACAAAGGGAGAATCAACTTCCCCAGTCTCCGGCTTCCTCCAGTTTAGAAACAGGTGCTGGGCTCACCTTCTGTAGAGGATGTAGTGGCTCCAAGCAGCCTATGCTCTCAGGACGTCTGTGCTCAGTATTTGAGAACCCACATGCTTAGTGACCACTGTGGTTAAGCCCCGAGTCTTGTAAAGTTGTAATATTTATGCGTGTTCAAGACACCGATAGTTTCGCATCTTGAGACCTGTTCATTCCTCTGCGATCTTTGGTGGTTGAGTTTGTGGCTTATTCTTAAGTCAGCGGACCATGATTTTTTTCATTTCTGTATGGAACTGTAACTGCGGGTGTATGTGACTCTTTGTGGGGACAATTGTATTCCTGTACGCTTCATCTGATCTTTATCTAGGGCATATCCTGGGAGCTGGGGAGAGCTTCTGTGGCAGAATAGACAAGACTTAACCCACGAGGCACCCAGGGAAGAAGGGGAAGGCTTGTTCTATGGCGTCTGGGAAAGCAGGCCAATTTTCCTCCTTGAATAAGGGCACAATGCCTTAGGGCACACTACTTTAATCTTTGACCAGGGTTTCATATTGTGTCACTTCTCATTTATTAACCCAAACCCAGATGTCCCTTGAGGGCATTCTTTGTAAGAGAAACCATAGTATTTTGTAGCCAAGCGAGGTTTTATTACTACATTCACTTTCCCTTTACCCAGGAAGAAATACAGAATAACCATTGAGAGGCGAAACCAGCAAGAAGAAAGCAACGTTGGAAAACATCGGGAGTTACGGGAAGATTCCATCAGATCCCATTTTTCGGTGGCTTAAAAGGAAGCCTATTCTTTTGGCTTGAGATTCTTTAAGGAGATAAACGGGATGAAAGACATCAATGGAACAGAAGAGGCGCTCTTGAAAAACTCATTCTTTTAAGCAGTTAGTCATTTCGTTGTAAAATTTCTTTAGAAGCTCAGGAACTGTTATTAATCACCATATGCCTCCCGGCCTTTCATCTCATGACAAACAAATATAAGAATATAACGTCACTTTGTTAAATGTTCATACTATTTCAAGGGCACATGATCAGATTTATGTTTTGAAGCTCTGATGTCTCCATATCTTGATGGCTTTTGCGGGGATTTTATGCAAGGCTATAAAATGTGTTTTTCTTAAATGAGATATTTTATAGCTAGAATAAAATAATTTTTACAAGTAGAATATCCTTGAAAAGAATTTAACCCCAAGAAGAAGAAAACATAATGAAAAGTCTCAAGGTAGGAAATACATCATTCCTTTCTCTAGCGCTGGTGGACAGATCTGAAGTTGAAAACTGCTCTGTCCGATGTATACATTCAGGTCCTGACTTCATATTTCGAAAAAGAATCCCCCTCTGCCCCCCCCCGTCTCCTTCAGTGTCTCATAAAAGCTACTCTGGAAAGTTGTAACTATTAATAAGTCAAGAGGATTTATACAAGAAAAGCAAATCTAAGATGTTTCATTTTTTAATATAAAAAAGCCCTATTTCACACTAACACTTTATTTTTAAGTATTTTAATCTTATATTTTACTATTAGAAAATGTGTCTATTTTTTCATTTTGAAGATTAAATTTCACTTCTATTTTAAAAGCATGGGTAAAGTGTACAACAAACCAATAATGATGAAAGATGCCTCTTTTTCTCCCTGTTTTCCTCTTCCCTGTGGCTGTAGCCCAATACGAATTGCTGCTTTAATTACAGAGATCTGGAAATGTATTCAGATTATAGACTTTACAGGAATACATCAATTTACCTGTTTTAAATGCAACTTGTTTTAGGGATAGACTCCTTCCAGTTCTGACCAGTGATGAGTGTCAAGACCAAGGATGAAATTTAATAGAATTAAGTCAGGTTTTATAAAAGGGAGGTGGTCATTTTTTCTCAAGAACTGTAGAGTTAGAACTTGACAGTAAGCACAGAAACGATACATTTAACAAATGACATTTTACCAAAATTCACAATGATGATTTTGGTTAAAAGAGGGAATCTAAATAGCTACTATATTCCCTTTTAGTAAACTCCAGAGAGGCTTGCAGTCATCCACTAATAACCCATGTAACAGGCGTAGGGATATGAGGAATTTGGACAGGGTTGTATAAGTATATACCAAATCTCTACTTTGTGCCTAGTACTCTGCTAATAGGTTTAAACTCAGGTTGCCGCTTTCATGTATAATTTGTGGAGAAAATAGACAGTGAGGGAAGAATGGGAAGTTGCCAGATCAGTGTACTATCTTATCATGACGTCACGAGGGCCTTTCCTCAATAATGTTTTGAGCAGCTGGAAAATAGTTTTAAAAATTATCTTAATGTCTGGAAAAGACCATCTATAGGAGGAAAATTGGGCCGTTTGAGAAAATAGGGGAATACCAGAATTGGAGCAATTCCTAAGTAGTGATGGAGGCTGTGGCTCACACTGGTAATGGTGGAGGTGAGGCAGGGCGATTGAGAGCCGCGTGTCCTGGAAGTTGGCCTGAGCTTGCTTCCCTGGAGGCATCCACCACTCCTTCAGCCAAAGTGAATGGATTATTTCTGCGTGAGGCACATTTCCCCTCTATTGTTTAAAAATGGAATGCAGGCAGTTGGAGAACATGATAAAAGAATGAACTCTGATCAACTCAAGGAACTATGTTGTAGTTCTCCATGCTGGGTGCAAATGAAAAAGTGCTGAATTCAAAACAGGATGGAAAAAGCAGGCAAGAGAGGCCAGCTCCAGAAATTCTGACACAGGAAGACAGTTTGGGAAGTAAAATCCAGGAAAGCGACGTGTGTAACATCTCAGGACTCAACGTGAAAACAGAATGGAAGAGTTGCATCCATCTTATTTTTGTGAGTTGAGAGACTATTTCTCTCTCATTTATGTTTTTCAGTGATGTTTTCCATGTATTTTAGAGATACTCATTCTCTATTATCTTGTGTTTGTAAAAAACATTAAAATTTTGAGCCTATGTGCTTATTACAGGGAAAAAAACACTCTTACCTGGCTGCAGTCTTTGGGTAGAAACATTTCTAACCTTTCTAGAATTTATATAGGGGCTGTTAACGCTAACCTTTTTAAAGCAAATATCTTTTATTTCTACTTCAGGTAGAGGAATAGTTCTAAACTTAATATTATATTCCCAGGTAAAATCGTAAAAATTTTAAGTGAGAATTTAGTCTTTTAAAAATGGTAGAGCAGGGCTTCCCTGGTGGCGCAGTGGTTGAGAGTCCGCCTGCCGATGCAGGGGACACTGGTTCGTGCCCCGGTCCGGGAAGATCCCACATGCCGCGGAGCAGCTGGGCCCGTGAGCCATGGCCGCTGAACCTGTGCGTCCGGAGCCTGTGCTCTGCAACGGGAGAGGCCACAACAGTGAGAGGCCCGCGTACCGCAAAAAAAAAAAAAAAATGGTAGAGCACATCATAAGGTTTCTGATATTTGGACGCCATTCTCTTCCAATCTTAAAGCGATTCTAGTGTTCTTAAGATTGTTTATTTACATGTCTGTTTGCTATCCTTTCTTCCTTGAAATTGTCACATGAGTTACAAAACTCTATTAAGTTTGTAAAGCTCCCTTAAGTTGGGGGAGCTTTACAAACTTAATAGAGTTTTGTTAAAAGTGTAGGTGTTTGGCCCAAGGTTACCCTGGGTTAAGACTTCTGGAGATTATAGACCGGGATTGAAATTCCTAACTGCTAACACGTTTGACAACTAGTTATTCAAGTGGCAACTTCGCCAGTAGCCACATATCATATGGTAAAATAAATAGGACTTTAGTTCTTAAATCGTTCGTAAATTATTATCCTGAACTCCAGGGCGTTCAGATTTCAAAAGGGATACTTTATCAGTATTTTCTTATCTGGCCAAACATAAGCTGACACTGATACAGGTCAGAATGAGTATATACTTTTTGTGTGTATACTCTTGGTGTTGGAAATAAGTATAGGTTTTTATGGTCATCATCATCATCTTAGATTTTTTCTTTTCTGGACTCAGAAATAAAAGCTTTCTCTAGGTGATCACTTCTATCCAGGAAGAACTTTCTGTGTAGAGTGTGGAGCTTCCCCTAGAATGACCACAGGCTCCACAAGGAAGTCCCTGTAAACACTACATTTCTTGGAAGAACCATCAGCTTGTCCTTTCCTGAACCGCAGACATGGTTCCACAGGCTTTAAAATGGTTCTTTACACTTCAGAAGCTATATTTAATGGAGGAAGGGGAGAAAGGAAGGGAAAGTTAATGCCTCCTTTTCTCTTCTTCCTTAAATTCAAAGTCTTTTGCTTTGGAATGTCAGGCACTTCTCCCTATTCACATGCTCCTGGTATCATTCACTTATTCAAGGCACCTGTGCCCTTTGCTCCCCTAATTGACCACTTTCCTTCTGGTTGCCGCTGATTTGGGGAGTGTGAGATTTGCTGTTGACCGTGAAAGTAAGGCCATTGTATAGACCTTATACAGACGGAGACAGGAATTCGGAGTAGGTCCAGTGGGCTTCCCACCTTCTTGTGAGTGAGCGTAAAATAGCTGTTTGTGGAAGTCTCTTAGGAGACCAAATAGAATATTATGCCACTGGTATTAAGGGAGTGTTTATAAACTGAAAGGAGCACATACCTATGTTTCTTGGGACACAAAGCATTCAGATCCTGAGTGGATGCAGTCATAAAGCCAAACACCAACCAAAATCAGGTCCCTCGGTCTACATGTCATGGGGTTTGTTTAGTTATGCCGTGTAGTTCAGTGCTTCATAAGGAAGCTGAAGACGAGCTGAGTTTCTTCTTCAGTAGAAAAAGTGGAAACTAGTAACATGGAGTATGTTTTGGGGGCAGTGTGGAAGCACAGAGGATGAGATGGTGCTGTTCAGAGGAATCTGTTTCTTTTTCAGTTGATCTTTAGAACAATAGTATAACCTATAATTTAGTTCCTCTTCAGTAAGAAGCTTGGGACACACCCAGCAAGAAGAATTAGGATCAAGCTCTTGCGAAAGAAACAGAAGAGGGTAGTGTTGCCAGCTGCCAGCATCTTTACCATCCCTTCCGCCAACACCCTTTCCACTGTCCACCATGGCTCCAAAGATGCATCAGCATTGTGCCCATGCAGGTAGCAGCTTGTGAGTGGAACCTCCATGCTTCCTCAGGGGGAAAGAAGACAATGTACTGGCTGTAAGAATGTAGCTGGCTTTTGATCAGAACCCTTACCTAACTTGACCACGTGCTCTCAGGGCAGTTCAAGCTTCTGATGTGTATATGCTCCAACAAAACCTGGCTTCGGTTTTCAGCATGTGGAGCTTGCAGGTGTGCCCCCATAGCTAGACTCCAGGATTAAATCGACTTTCAAAAGGTGCTGGATTGGAGTTTGTTCAAATTTCTCATTAACCACTAATGTTAATTCATACCAAAGTCAAAGCAATTCTAAACCAGCTGATGCTGTCAATGTTCATATTTTAAGCCACTTCAAACACAGTGAAAGGGTTTCAGTGGGAGCTGAGTCTCAGAAGTAAAAATCTATATATTACAATAACTCTTTGATGTATCAGGTGTGGGATGATTCCTAGGGGACATATTTGAACAAGCAGAATTAAGAGTTAGCAAAAATGCTGCATTGCTTTGATTCACATGTTTAAAGACCTAAATTTCTACGTGCAAGGAATAAAGGGCCCATTCACCAGGGTAAGTCACAACATAGGCTACCAAAGTGTTTTCTATTTGCTAGGAGAACAAAGCTGTCATAGCACATAATAATTGCTCAGAGCAGGTTGAGAAAGAGGAAAATCTGGATTTTGAGACAGGGTATCCTATTTATTATTCAATGCCAAGATCTTA